CAGGTAGAAAGGCTTATCATCCTGTAAAATTTCTATTTCCAACACTGCAGACTGGTCAAGAAAGGTCAATGTAGACATGAAATACCTCTTTTTTTTTAGCTGATTTAGTTGGCAGGCTTTCAGGTACATCAGTGGGATCTTCTACTCTACACCTAAGAATAAAATTACTGAGAAACGTTTCTAATGCCATAGTCACATTTCTGGCAGGAGCAGATATTCTCTACATACCTGTAGTATGAACACCAAGCCAATGTCAAAAGCACTTTTTATTTTTATGTGAGGTTGCTACTGTGGAATACAATAGCAATAAAAATGAGCGCTCTTGTGAAGTAAGCAGCTGGACATCCAAGGAAACCAAACAAAAGCCTTGTCACAATCGTATAGAAATATATATGTGCAGCGCTAATCAATAAATAATGGTATCATATAATATAAATGTCCCCAATTATAAAACAAAAACCCGTGACAGTTTTTAGGATGAATATAAAGTGATATACAGCTTCCAATCCAGTGGTGGTGCTCCTTGTAGTAAGGTAAAAATTGCGCACTAATCAGAAGCGTAATTGAATTACGCAGTGTATAAATCATGCGGGTCCACTTCACCGAGCTAGGTCCGGACTGGAACTTAGGGTTCTCCTTCAAGCTGGTATGAATAAATAGCCCTCAGTGGGTAAAGGTAGATCCAGTAGGCCAGAGGTCCCCTTTAAGGGATAGGTGGGTGTGAAGATTCCTGAATTACAGGTGCTTTCCTCTCTGGGTCTGGTGGGCTGGTACCTGGATCACAGCAGGACTCTGAAAATAGCAAAGCTCCTCAAGGGAGACCAAGGAAAGTGCCCATAGTGTAGTAATTATGTACTATTTTATTATATGACAGAAACAATTCCATAAAAAAAAAAGTATGACAATATAGCAGCATCAGGTATGTATAAACGACTGACTATCCAAAAACTAAGATGGCCGCCACTTGGCACCGGCGGCGTGACGTCACGCTTTCCTAGGCTCCTCCTGACGTGTTTCGTGCGCACGCACTTCTTCAGAGGCGGAGGATAAGTGACGCCATGATCGTGAAGCCGGCTTTTTATACGGAAAATGGTTCATGCGCACTTAGTCAGCGCCATTTTGCCGGAGTCCAAAACGACAATCGTAGTCAATGCGTCTGTGCGACGCCACTTTACCATGGGTAAAGATAGGATAAACACTTTATAGCTAAATCCTCGTAATGCAAATGTAAAGGTGTGTTAATATATATATACAATGGTAAGTATATTAAGGTGGTAAGCTGCTTATTAAGAAGCAGAAACGGCAGCAAAGTAGGAGATTATCCTGATTGTAAGTAATGTGCATATATTAATATAATAAGAAACCTGGCATAAGCCATAAAAAAATAATGCATAATATATCATTAGATGAATAAAAATTGGAATATTAATGAGTCATTATAACAAATGAATATTAAAGCACCTGATAATAAATATAAGTTTATTAGAAAAATAAATAAATATATACTCTAATATGGATTAAAAGACTGCACTGGATAAAATGAAAAAATTATCAACTCACTACAAAATAACCCCATGGTAAAACAGACTGAAATAAATATATTCAGTAAAAAATCAACCTTAAAATTATAAAGTAAATATGTAGTGCCACAATTGATATGTATAAAAAAGGCAGCGAATGTAAAAACGACTATACTAAAAGTCAGGCCAAACTAACACGAATGTTCATGAATTAATAAGTTAAAAAGGATCATCAATAGTAAGTAAAAATGGTTTTAAACAAATTAAATCATAATGGTAGGATAAAAAGGGGGCATTAATAAATAATGATATATAAATAATGTATATAAAAAGCTATTAAAAGAAAAGGCATAAATGTGAAAGAGATCAACTATTGTCGATTAAACAGTTTACATCGATCTCAATGTTTAGTCCCACTGGGTGTAGGGTAACGATCTCAATGTTTAGTCCCATGGGTGTAAATAAATGAGCTTAGATTCCAATTGGGAGACTGCCCTAGTTTTGAATGTCCCTCTCCAATGAGAAAGTTACCATGTCTATACCGATAAATTTCAAACTTGATGGATCTCTATTGTGGTGTTGCCTATAATCTAAAGATAAGGAGTGTTCTTTGTATCCTTTCTTTATATTATTGATGTGCTCAAGGAGGCGATCCCTCAATCTCCTGGTTGTCCTTCCCACGTACTGTTTAGAGCACGGACATTCTAGTAGATAAGCCACGTATTTGCTGTTGCAGCAAATGAACTTATCTATATTATAGACCTGTTAGTCTGATTAGATGTAAAAGGTGTTGATTTTCTTTTTTTCTCGTATTATTACATCTACAGGCAATGCATTTGTTACAAGGGAAGAAACCAGTGAGGTTAAACAGTGATGGTGATTGGGCAGGTGTGTGAGACCACATTGGGTGCTATCTTATCTCTTAGAGTAGTAGATCTTTGGAAGATAACTTCTGGTACATCAGGAAGTATTTTGGCTAGTGAGGAATCGGCCCTTAAAATACCCAATTCTTTTTAATAATATGTCGGATAGACCTATGTTGGACTGAATAGGTAGTTATGAAGGGACATACCATATTTTTCAAAGGTTTAGTATTAGTACTAAGTAAGTCCTCCCTGTTCATATTTGCTACAGCTTCAACAGTGTTGGTTAAGATCTCGTTATTGTAACCTTTTTCAAGGAATTTGTCTTTTAAAATAACAGCCTGTGAGTAGTAGGTATTAACCTCTGTGCAATTCCTCCTGAGTCTGAGGAACTGCCCTTTGGGAATGTTGGCAAGCCAACTGGGATGATGGCAACTTCCCAGAGGGATATAGCTGTTACAGTCTGTTGATTTGAAATAAGATTTAGTGGTTATTCGTCCATTTGAATTCATCAAGGTGAGGTCTAGGAAGTCAATCTCAATGGTACTATAATTAAAGGACAATTTAATATTGATCTTTTTATTATTTAGTGAATTAAAGAAGTTTATGAGAGACTATTCAGTACCGTTCCAAAGTAAAAGCACGTCATTTATATAGCGTTTATAAAAAGACAATTCTGGCCATTCCATTGTATAAATATTGTCCTCCCCCCCCAGTAGGACATAAAAAGGTTTGCTAAGCTGGGGCAAATTTTGCCTCCATAGCAACACCTCTAACCTGTAGGAAGTAGTTGTTATCGAACCACATGTAGTTCTTCAGCATAGCAAAATTCAATAGGTCCAATATGAAATCTATATGCAGCGGTGTCAGTGAACTCTCATGTCTAAGGTAATATTCATCCCTTCTATGTGATCAATATTGCTATAGAGCGCTGCCACATTGGCAGTTACCAAAAATGTGGATGGGGAGGTGGTGATGTCTTTGACAGCATTGAGGACCTGCTTGGTGTCTTTTAGGTAAGATGGAGTTTGCATCACAAGCGGTTGAAGGTAATGATCAATATAGGCACCTATTCTTGAACACAGCGAATTTATGCCGCTGACTATAGGCCTACCGGGAGGTTTTACTGGGTATTTGTGTATTTTAGGCAGAATGTATAATATAGGTAGCCTTGGAGCTTTGGGACACAGGTATTCTTTTTCCTTTTTATTAATGATTTTCATCTCATAGCCTGAGTTAATGATAGTTTTGAGGGACCGTTTATATTCAAGAAGGGGATTCCTTGGCAGTTTTGTCACTAAGGATGTTGTAAACCTCATCCATATAATCCTATTTAATAGAACACCCCCACCCTTTGTCCGCTGGTCTGACTACAAAGTCTTTATTTTCTAAAGTGATTTGATAGCTTTGTCAGCATTAGGGTCCATATAAGTTTTCTTAATGGGGAGATTCTTTAAGTCTCTAAGTACCTGTTCTTTAAACAAAGCCACTGCGGAATTGGCTTGTGGAGGGGGGTTAAACATGGAGGCATTACTCAAAAGCGTGTGATGGCTAGAGATGTCTCGGGTGATGGGATTATTGAGAAAATATCTCTTAATGGATCATTTTCTGGCAAATTTCTGAACATCTATAAAGGCCTGGAATTTGTTCATAGGCCTAGCAGGGGAAAATTTGAGGCCTTTGTCTAAAAGTTTTAATTCATTAGTGGCGAGGTTGGTATTACGGGGGTTGAATATGCCTTATCCTGTTAAAATTTCCTTTGTTTCATTAGATCCATTAACTCTCCTCCCCTCCTCTCTTGCCTCTATATTTGTCACTTCTTTTTCGGATCTTCCCTTTCCCTAAAAAATGATTCTGGTTTTCATTGTTAGGGTGGTGATTAGAGGTTCTAGGAGTAGGAGGTGGAGCATAGTTATCATGTGGAGTTCTCCAATGGAAGTATTCACGAGTATAGTAGTCCTTTACGTGGTGGTTTATTAATTCATTTTTCAGTTAGATCCCCAAGAACCTCTTCGATTGCATCAATAGACCAGTATTGGTTATATTATTATTATTATTATTATACATGACTTATATAGCACCGACAGTTTGCTCAGCGCTTTACATTATGGAGGGAGACAGTACAGTAACAATACAGTTCAATACAAGAGGGATTAGAGGGCCCTGCTCCTTGGAGCTTACAATCTAAATGTACAATATGTAGTAGTTTGGGGTGATGATAGAGCAAGCAACATGTCAGAACAATCCTACTTGAGAATGTAACACTGTACTTGGTTGGGGAGCTGCATTTCTTCACCCCCTCTCTTCTTTCCCACATGAACCTTCATCCCTAGCAGGTGTATCTGGTTAAGAGAATAAGGTATGGAAGTATCATGTGGGGAAGGCAGTTGGAGCAGAAGTGCCAGTTATATCGTTTTGTGGGGTTTCAGAAGTATATGGACAAAGATATGGTGAAACAAGTTGATGTTTAGCCTGAACAACAAACTAAAATTACAAACATGTTGAAATATTTTACTGTTAGTTTATTAAAAAGTGTACAGATGTATAAAAATGCTTATTTATTGAGGAAGATAATCCTTGGCTGAGGTAGAGTCTTAAAAATGGCCCGTGGAAGCACTTATTTTGGCATCTTCTGTCCCATGTTTTTTCCAACTCTTAGAGACAAATATATCTCGGCTTTTAGCCTTGGTCACTAAAAACCGGCTCATGTAAATGCCATTGAACTGCCCCACTCCGTCATTTCGACCCAATGATAGGAAAAAAAAATAAAAAAAAAAAAAAACAAATTAAAATAATCATAAAATAAATCAAAAATAATAAAAAAATAAAAATTTCAAAATAAGCCAACCAAATAAAAAAAAAAAAACAAAACATAAATAACAAAAATTTATATAAAAAAAAAATAATTTAAAAAAAAAAAAAAAAATAAATATACAAAAAAAAAAATAAAATAAAAATAAAATAATAAAAACATCATATTAATTTAAAAATCTAAAAATTACAAAAATATATAAAAATACTAATATAACAAAAAAAAAAATATAAAAAACACCACATAAAAAAAAAAAAAAACACAAACAAAAAACAAAAAAACCACCAAAAAAAAAAAATATTATATAAAATAAATAAATAAAACAAAAAACAAAATAAATTAACCTATAAAACAAACAATAAACAAACTTATAACACAAAAAAAAATATAAAACAAAAACAAACAAAAAAAAAAATAAAAAACACAATAAATTAAAAAATTAAAAAACTAATAAAAAATCCACAACAAACTAAAAAATATACACACCATCAAAACCATAAATATTTATAAACACAAATCATAATTATAATAAAAAACATATACACACACACAAAAATAAAAAAAATATAATAAAACAAAAACCCACCCCCAATAAACACAAACAAAAACAAACACAAAAAAAAAACAAAAATTAGTTATATACACACAAAAACACCACAAAAACCCTATAACAAACACAAAACTCACCATATTATATAAATATACACAACAAAAAAAAAATAAAACACACCCAAAAAATAAAAAAAAAACAAAAATAAAAAAAAAAAATAAAACTAAACACACCACACTAAAACAAAAATATCTATACAATATTACACCAAAAAAATTAAAAAAAACCAACCAAAAAAAAACATAAAAAACAAAAACATCAAAAAATTAAAAATAAAATATTCACCAACAAATAAAAACAAAAAAAACCCAAAATATACCAAAAAAACAAACAAAATCCCAAAAAAACACAAAAAAAAAATAAACCCCCCACACCCCAAAATAAAATTTAAAAAATTAACACAACACAAAAAACCCCATAAACACCACACAAAAAAAATAAATAAAAAACAAATCCCAAACAAAAAAAAAAACAAAAAATTAAACACCCCCCATAAAATTTAAAACCAACACAAAAACAAATAAAACAAAACACACCCAAATTAAAAAAACACACACCCAATCCACTAAATTATAAAAACACAAAAACACCAAAAACAACCCCAAAACCAATAAAATTCCAAAACCAACCAAAAAAATACACAAACATACCAAAATAAACCAAAAACCCAAAACCATAAAAAAATATATAAAACAACCCACACCCAAAAAAAAAACACCCAAAACATAAAACAAATGCACCCCACAAACAAAATAAAACATACCACCAAACACATCCCACTATAATAATACAAAAACAAAAAAACACACCAAAAAAAACACACAATAATATAAACACAACAAAAATATATATTCCACAAACAAAACCAAAACACCCATATAAAACACCCCACACAAACATATATGTGGCCTGGGGGAACGAACACACACCATAAAATATACGCAAACACACCCATTATATACACACATCGTATATATATACCACACACACACACATATACCCTATATACACATCTATATATAGCGGCAATATATATATATATATATAACAATAACATAACATATACTGAAACCTATATATACAACACACACACCATATAGGCCTATATCATATACAAAAATAAGGTATATAACACAAACACACACACACACATATATATAATATATAATACACACACACACATAAATAAATATATACACACACACACCATATATAATCAGGACACACACACCATATTATATATATACATACACACACACTCACACATATATATATATAATACACACACACCAACACACACATAAATATTATATATATATCATCACACACACACACACACATATATATAAATATATATATACACACACACACAGGTATATTAATATACTTACATAGACACACACAGTCACACCAGCAGGTGATATATATATACACACACACACACATATATATAATATATACACACACACACACATTAACATATATATAGTACACAAACCATATATATGACACACACACATATATACATATACACACACTCACACACTAACAAATTATATATATTATATACACACACACACATACATATATATATATTATATATACACACACACACACATATATATACTATATATATATACACACACACAACAATAAATACCCACCTCTTATATATACAAGCACACACATAGTATATATATATATACACACACACATCATACTATGATATATATATACCACACTCACAGATATATTAATATATATATAACAACACACACACAATCCTTATAGTATATATACACAATCACACACATATATATATAAATACATACACACAACAACATATATTAGACCAACTTATTATATATAGATATAATTCACATCGTACACACACATATAATATATATACATACACACACAGCATGACACAAAACTATATATATAAACACAACAACACACATCTATATATATATATATATATAATTGTAACCACACACACAATATATAATTATACACACACACAGACACACAAATATATATATACACACACAAACACACACATATATATTTTTTACACCATTAGAGCCACCCTTTATATATGATAACACACACACATACTGCATGGGATATACAGTGGCAAAAAGCAGTTGGGGACGAAATATACTATTTACGCTAACAAGCACGGACTAGTATAAGGATACTCGGTATATATATACACATAAACGTAATAGGGGTATATATACATGATATAACAAAGATGGCTTAAAACACTCATGATAGGCATATTATATATAAGTAATTGGCAGAACACATAACAAGAAGCACATAGTATATTTATGGTGCATACTCACATATGTATACATATATATATATATACACACACCACACATATATATATATATAGACACAAAAATTACACTATAATCCACACATTGAAACTGCCAGACACTCACAGGCATGCTCTCCTATCAACCAAATGTTAATACACATAGTATAAACAACACACATATAATACACCCTCAAGACATATGAATATGGTTAAGAAAGCTAAGGAGGAAGTGAGCTATTGATGGCTCTACACACAATACAATATATAAATTTATCCCACATTAGGACGCCCATTAATGTTGATAACCGTGTATACACTGCATTGGGAGGTTTGTGGCAAAATGTAAGTATGGTGCGAACACATAACACACAAGCATTGCCCGGATTCATAAGCATAGGGATAACTGAAAATACAAATAATCTTTTAGACTCTGGATGTTTCAAAACTCATGAACCTTTACCAATAATTGGAATCATCAAACATAGGGGATAGTATTATGGTAAAATACACTATGTGCACAAATATGTAAGCAAATTGTATTTTTTAGTATTACACCAAGCGTATTGAACAACTTCAATGCTCTCCTATCCAAAATGTTAATACTGAGACCCCCCACCAGAAGATATTAAAGCACAGTACAAACGTGAGCTTTGGCTCACTTGCATGAAACCATCAATTCCACGATACGACAAGAATGTTACATGTATCTCCCCGCGGCAAGCTAGAATGTTAGAATGGTGAGAATAATTCTAGCACCCACATACATTTACTGCATGGGAGACATGCAGTGTCTATTAGACCTGGTGTTTCAACACACAACACTATTACCTAAAATCAACACATAGTGACTATATATAGGATAATATATTAATATATATACACAGATGAAACCTACACCCAAGCGTAAACCATCCCCTCCCACAAAAATCACGAGTTGCTGCATCCTCCTCCCCGCCCCCCCCTAAACACCACCGCCACCCCTTCAACAAAATTTTTAAGCTTGGACTTTTCAAGAAGTCAGTTGAATTGCGATACACATGTAGGACCCTATCTCCGCGCAAGCTGAGGAAAGAAGCTGCCTAATAATTCATAGCACCAGACTTGATATCGGGTTGTTGATCTCCATAACTGGTGACACACACACTCCTCTCAATACACATATATACCACATCACCTGATATGCTATACATCCATTACAGCATCAAGTCATATCCCACAGTATGGAGTTTCCAATTCAATAGTGCTGCATCCACTGACAGACTGATTTAAAATTTTTTGACTTTTCAAAGAATACCGACTTTGAATCACATTTTTGGCCCCAATTTTCCTGAGGTACTTATACTGCGCTGTCTAATAATCATACACAGCGCATTATATGGTGTGTTGATCTCCATAAGCCACACCCTCGCCTACATTACACATCAGTCCTAACACATCACCTGGGGCTGCGTTACTACCAATCAAGCATTCAAGTCCTATACTCAGCATTGGAGTACATGGGACACAATATGCATACAAAATTAATAATTTAGGTGCACACAGTGTAGCTCACTTAATTTATTACAGTACTCTATATACGCTGTCAATTTATCACAGCCTTTTCGCACATATATATTGTACATTCACATCATCCCTTTCATTCAAGGGGCGTTCAATCAATTTAGTCTCCTAACTCGAATGCATACATAACACACTCCACTTTTTCTACAGGATTCAAGAGGATCAATGTGCCACATTTTAGGTGAAAGTTCATTGACCGAATACAAGCATGAAAACATTTATGAAAAGATACCCTTAGGGGTCTATTTATCACTGATTCGTAAATATAATTGGCTTGACAACTTTACCAGTTCAGGATTCATATAGTATCAGGAGGTTTCCCGAGTAAACATGTTGACTCACTATTGTGACAGCAATATTGCAAGTAGGGACCTGCACTGTGATGCCCATTTTTTAGGTGTTCTCTTATGTCTGCAACCAGTCTCATGCATGCTAAACGTATATGAACAATCCTTCATAGACCTACTGAAATAAAGTCATTCATTGCTTGAAGGCTACCATTGCTTGCTACTCATTGTCTCCTATAAGAAACCCGATTAAATTTGATAATATTGGTGACAGCAATATTGCAAGTCAACCTGCACGTATGCATTTTAGTTCTCTTATGTCTGCAAGTCTCCCTGCTTCATAAACTTGCTGTATCGCTTCCAGTTGAAGAAAGTCATTCACCATAAGCTCCATTGCATGCTACTTAGTCTCCTAATAAGAAACAGATACATTAGTATTATTACAACGCAATCACCATGACAGCATACATTTGGGTAAGGTCCATACAGTCTGAGCATTTGTGTAAGCTGTATCATCTTTTTTCTGCATCAGAGTTTTGGGTCTATGGAAATTCAGAGCAGATGTAAGAATACTGTGGAGACATTCAGCTGAGAGAATATTTCTTTATATATCACTTACCAATGACAGTGAACCTGGTAGGAAGAAGTTAACCATTGGATGTTGTGCTTCAATACTTGGGGAAGGACAAATAATCCTATATTAGATGTAGGCAAAGTAAGGGTCCATACAAATTAAAGGAGGCCTGCTGCAGTGTATTTTCCTACTTCCACTGCATGGGTAATGTGGCATTGCATTAAGGCAAGCCCATTCAATAGGTATAACTGCTCTAAAAGAATCACAACGGATCAAAAACCATGAAAGGCAGTAACAAATGCGCTTGATGATAACCACACCACAACATAGGCATACTGCATGGTCACTGTGGTTCCGCTTGCAAGGCTTGAACATTGAGAAGGTCTGTTGATTTGCTATTCTGAGGGCTTCTGCTTAGTGGGTATACCTAAGCCTCTCTCCGCACAGCCAGGCAACAGGTAGATGTCACACAGATGTGCATCCAAAGACAATGACCAGTCCATGGACTTGGTTTTGTTGTTTTATATGGGGAAATCAACTTGGATAGGGAAATAGGGATTATAGCATGCCCAATTAGGCTTGAATCAAAGGAAGGGGGACATGTCCTTCCTATGTGCAAAGGCAGATTTCGGACTGTTCTTTTCAGATCAATAGCAGCTACCCTTTATGGGCGAGGAAATTACTTGTTGTAGCTACAGGTAGAGATGTCTTCTCTATCCCTGTAGAGCTGCTCCCAGCTCCACAGCCTGCAAACGCTGCAAGCCCTTCTGGCTTCTAAGAAGATCTCCCAGGACAAGGATAAAGGATTCAGCCCAGCGCTGTCCTTAGAAAGCTTGCTACCTATGGCAGTCTTTCCCCTTGTAGATCCCAGAGTGTGCTGATGTACTCACACTGTCCTCTCTTCTTCCTGCTCCTCCAGGTCTCAATCCCATTCATGCCTTATCACTGAATGTATCCTACCGAGCCAGCCCTAGGCCAGCATGGAGGCCGGCTTCCCCAAGACCTAGGGGACCCCTCCTAGGCACAATCTTCTCAGCACTCCATCTTCCACCTAACTCCTCTGTCAGCCTGACTCTCCCATATTTATGGGCCAGTCCACCACTCAACCAGGGCCTTCAAACCTGGGATTGGCCGTACTCCCATGAACATGCACATTAGGTCTCCATCCCTTCCTGGTTACCAACTTCTGGAAGAATCTATGGTACTCCAGAGTCAGGAGGAGGCGACAGAGCCACAACCTGTTGAGTTACCCAACTGAACTGTAATAACCCGACCTCAATTACAGACTCACACAATTACCATGACTCGTGCACAATGATTTTACCTATGATACACTACACTATTCTAGTAGCACACTAGAGGGTGCTACACTGGCATCAAATGTTAAAAAAAAAAAAAACACACAAATACATGCCGGTATCTACAAGCAAGCACATAGTCCAAAACAGAACTGTCATTCTTATAAGGGTAGGTGAATGTGGGGCTGAGGACCCACCAACTCCTTTGATGGTCATCAGCAAAGCGTGGGCAAGACCTAGAGATATGCCCTTAAACCTGATGCTTTTGGAGTTCATTGCTGCCTATTAACAGTGTCTCCCGTAATGTACACCTGTACTTGACTGTTTTGCAAGGACACCAGAAAGTATGTCAGACAGTCCTGCACAGATCAAACACAAGTGAAAACAAGATGGTGGATACAGGTCTTCTACAGGTCAATCGATTTAACAGAGCAAATACTAGATCCGGTTCAGCAGCACTCCCCAAATGGGGATTAGAATTGGGTGGGGAAAACCCAGAGTTGAGAATCCATGTATATGTATCCATGTCCAACGAAAGTGCCAAACAAATGTCTAAGTCCAAAATTTTTATTGCTAAAATTGGTTCATAGCTGAGAAAAGCCAACACGTTTCAAGAGCAAAACAGACTCCCCCTTCATCAGGGCTCGTGAATTTTCACTGTGCTTCAATAGACTCAGATAAGCAGATATCAGTGAATCTTGCACAAGGACTTTCACTTGTGAACACTGGTATAACCTGCCTTCTGAAATATTTTTAAGAAAAAAAAAAAAAAAAAAAAAAGTACAGATTTGACTGGTATCTGCTTATCAGAGTCCATTTAGGCACAGTCAAAATTCCTGAACCCTGATAAAAGAGGGAGTGTGTTTGGCCCCCTGACACATGGTTTTTATTTTTTTGTCTGTTATTTCTCTGAAAGACACAAGTTTGTGAACTCTGTAAACTGTACTGTTATATAATATGCCTATTTGTATATCTGTAAAACATAAAACATTGGACTAGGCGCTCTCATTGGTCTGTATATAGTCATACACAGATGTACACGTTATTAAAGTTGTCTGTGGGGTTCAAGGAAACAAGTATTTGGTGAACAGGATACGCTGGTGCCCCTTTCAGTGACATACACTGCAGCCAAAGATAGACAGGGATTAGTCCTCTTCTACGGTGGATAAATACCACTGTACCATAGGCAACCACATTCAAACTCATCACGCACAGATACTAATGTTTATGTATGGCAACAGCCTAAAGACTGAGTTCACCTTTTCCAGAAAACAGCCTATGTAGTCAAGGGGCCCCAGTAGATATGAACAATCTGCACAGCTTTGTAAAATGTTAATTTCAACATGTCATGACCTGGATGACATGGAGCCTGACGTGTTGCATTGGATGCTCACTTCCAGCATTACAGGAGTGAAAACTAATGGTTTTTGAATCCTAGCAACAAGTTGCTAACAGGGTTGCTAACTAGGAGTTTTTAGTTTTAGGACCCAATTGCCCTACAGGTAAAACAATAAAATTAATGATCATTTTACAAGTTGCACAGATTTTTAAAATCTACCGGTTCCCTTGACTGTATAGGCTATTTTCTGGAAAAGGTGAACTTAGCCTTTAAACAAACTTCTGCACATGCATTACAGGAAAGTAGAAACAGTATATTACACATAATCTTGTGTACATTATCTTCTAGTAATTTTCTGAATCTGGTTCTTTATACAGTGAGATTTGGTTCTTTACAGTACATTTGTGAAAAGAACAGCTTACATGCAGTACCCTACAACAAAGCAATGTGCATACAACTTTCTATGCCCACTGCATACACTGGTGTACTTACCAAATACATTGAGGTAACAAGATGAATTGACCTTGATCCCTGTACAGCAGAGGAGTAGGTTGGCAGTGATCACTTCAGGATCCTTATCCAAACGTATTTCTATATTGTCTTGAGTCATATTTGGTGTCAGTTCATCCAAATTTGCAACTTTCTGGCCTGTGTGATCAGAACGGTTAACAGCCTGTTAATAACAGTTATTCAGAATGAAAATCTTATTTGCTTTTCATATTCTTAGCAGCAAGCGTGGTACTGAAATGAGGTTCAAAACTAAGAAGATCTTAGGCCTCAATTATCAACTCAGCATGCTGAAAATAGTCGTATTTTAGAATATGCAGCTAGTCAGGGCTGGTGCGAGGATTTTGTCTACACAGGCAAAGGTGCATTTTACTGTGACCCCCCCCCCCATCTTGGCACCCTACAGTGGCTGCCTGAGCAACCTTAAACCTCCTGAATGTCCCCGATTGCCACAAACTGTCCCCACCTCTAATAAAAGTCTGTGGTCGGTGCAAGGTCCCTTGGCTGATCCCTGTGGTTAGATCCCTCCTGCAAGAAAAAAACCCCCCAAAAAAAACTCTTCCCCCTTCCTTTTGATTTATTGTATTAAAGCTCATATTGGGTGGAATTCTGTTCTCCACTGTATCCCCTGCACACCAGTTCCCCACTGTTTCCCCCTGAACACTTGTTTCTCACTGTACCCCCCCCGGCACTCCTGTTCCCTGCTGTACCCCCCTGCACTCCTGTTCCCTGCTGTACCCCCCCTACACTTCTGTTACCTGCTGTACCCCCCCCCCCCCCCGCACACCTGTTCCTCGTTGTAACCCCTGCACACCTACTTGCCAGCTGTATCCCCTTGCTCTACTGTTGTAACTCTCTCTGCATGACTATTCCACCACGTTCATGTTCTTTTAATGTACTGCCCTGCATGCTGGTTCTATGACTGTACTTCCTCTCTTGCACCCCCTAAAATAATTTGGTGGCACAATGAACTTGACAGCAGATTCCAGGTTCTCCCACTACTGAGCCAGCGTCAGCGATAGCCTCCCTTGGAGAGCGGTGCTGCTGCCTGTCCTCCCACAACAGATCCCGATGGTTCAGGAGAAGGAGGGGCAGGGAGAGGATATCTTGGCAAGCCAGGACTTACAGTCAGGTCCATAAAAATATTGGGACATCGACATAATTCTAACATTTTTGGCTCTATACACCACCACAATAGATTTGAAATGAAACGAACAAGATGTGCTTTAACTGCAGACTGTCAGCTTTAATTTGAGGGTATTTACATCCAAATCAGGTGAACGGTATAGGAATTACAACAGTTTGCATATGTGCCTCCCACTTCTTAAGGGACCAAAAGTAATGGGACAGAATAATAATCATAAATCAAACTTTCACTTTTTAATACTTGGTTGCAAATCCTTTGCAGTCAATTACAACCTGAAGTCTGGAACGCATAGACATCACCAGACGCTGGGTTTCATCCCTGGTGATGCTCTGCCAGGCCTCTACTGCAACTGTCTTCAGTTCCTGCTTGTTCTTGGGGCATTTTCCCTTCAGTTTTGTCTTCAGCAAGGGAAATGCATGCTCAATCGGATTCAGGTCAGGTGATTGACTTGGCCATTGCATAACATTCCACTTCTTTCCCTTAAAAAACTCTTTGGGTTGCTTTTGCAGTATGCTTTGGGTCATTGTCCATCTGCACTGTGAAGCGGCGTCCAATGAGTTCTGAAGCATTTGGCTGAATATGAGCACATAATATTGCCTGAAGCACTTCAGAATTCATCCTGCTGCTTTTGTCAGCAGTCACATCATCAATAAATACAAGAGAACCAGTTCCATTGGCAGCCATACATGCCCACGCCATGACACTACCACCCCCATGCTTCACTGATGAGGTGGTATGCTTAGGATCATGAGCAGTTCCTTTCCTTCTCCATACTCTTCTCTTCCCATCACTCTGGTACAAGTTGATCTTGGTCTCATTTGTCCATAGGATGTTGTTCCAGAACTGTGAAGGCTTTTTTAGATGTCGTTTGGCAAACTCTAATCTGGCCTTCCTGTTTTTGAGGCTCACCAATGGTTTACATCTTGTGGTGAACCCTCTGTATTCACTCTGGTGAAGTCTTCTCTTGATTGTTGACTTTGACACACATACACCTACCGCCTGGAGGGTGTTCTTGATCTGGCCAACTGTTGTGAAGGGTGTTTTCTTCACCAGGGAAAGAATTCTTCGGTCATCCACCACAGTTGTTTTCCATGGTCTTCCAGGTCTTTTGGTGTTGCTGAGCTCACCGGTGCGTTCCTTCTTTTTAAGAATGTTCCAAACAGTTATTTTAGCCACGCCTAATGTTTTTGCTATCTCTCTGATGGGATTGTTTTGTTTTTTTCAGCCTAATGATGGCTTGCTTCACTGATAGTGACAGCTCTTTGGATTTCATCTTGAGAGTTGACAGCAACAGATTCCAAATGCAAATAGCACACTTGAAATGAACTCTGGACCTTTTATCTGCTCATTGTAATTGGGATAATGAGGGAATAATACACCCCTGGCCATGGAACAGCTGAGAAGCCAATTGTCCCATTACTTTTGGTCCCTTAACAAGTGGGAGGCACATATGCAAACTGTTGTAATTCCTACACCGTTCACCTGATTTGGATGTAAATACCCTCAAATTAAAGCTGACAGTCTGCAGTTAAAGCACATTTTGTTCGTTTCATTTCAAATCCATTGTGGTGGTGTATAGAGCCAAAAATGTTAGAATTGTGTCGATGTCCCAATATTTATGGACCTGACTGTATATACACTCAGGAGACAAGCCCCCCTCCCTGCATAATGACACAGGGCAGGGCAATCCACATTTAGTAACATTAGACACACCATCAGGAGGGAGGGCTGCTGGAGACACCCCCCACTAAGCTGATACACATAAAAACATACATCCTATAATAGTTTTCTCCCAAGCCAGACAAACAATAGAACAATGGGATGCAGCCACATAACATTAAACAATCAACAACCCCCACCTATCTCCTAAACATGTCTACACAGTCTGAGACAAAGCCCACACAATATTAGGACAGATCACCCTGTACCTCTAACAGGCACATGGTGATTTACACATAAGAGAGATATGGGGAGCTGAGAAAGGGGTCTCCCCACCTCTCCAAAGTGAGCTGGGTTCCATGGGCCCCCACCCAAAGTGACTCCCGTCACAATCACCAAAAATAAATAACTATAACATTCAGTTACCATAAGCCATCTTACATATTTTTACCCAAGCAATTAGAGTGTTCATGGATGACTTACCTCATATATGTCATGGTTACAATATATAATTATGATATGCATTGTAAAATCTTAACAGAACAATTACAAAGAGATCATACCCACCGCAACCGCCCTAGACAGCTCCCTATATCATGCTGCATGTTGGGCTATCTGCTCTTTCTCCCAGCTCACTCCCCTCCTGCCGCATCTAGGGCTGCACTGCAAGCTGGGCTCGGATGGGAATGTGAGGAAGTCCCGGCAGAAGAGCGCTTGGATCCCGCAGGGAGACCAGAGCACAGCTAGCTCTCAGAGAGTGTTTGACCTCGACAGCAGTGGAAATAAAGGAAAGGCAGAGCGGGGAGAAAATGGGCACCAGAAAAATGTGAGCCAAACCAGGAATGGTGGGATGGAGGGGGCGAAAGGTGCACAGAGTCCGGGACATGGAGCGCCGGGGTTACGGGTCTATCTACACAGGTGCATTTTACCGCCCACCTTAGCCTGGCCCCGTAAGGCAGACACAACCCAAGTCATCCCTATTTTCAAGGTTAGAATATTATGGGACCAGTATTGATAGCAATATCTAGGTAAACCTATTTATGATTTTATTTATTTATTTTATCCCAAAAAATGAGTACCACTATAGGATTTCCCCTATGGCATCTGTCCTTCCCTTTTCATTGCCATTATGGAATGTGAGTCATGGACACAGTTTGAAACACCGACAAGAATTACGGACAATATTAAGAGGATGCAATCTTCTAGACAAAAGATCTAGATCTTTGATGAAGATCTTTGAAAAGTGCTGATGACATTTTTAATGTTAACAATTATCAGGTAATAAGCACCTACCCAATACTAGCCTTACTCCCTTATTCAGGAGGATTTCCTTTACAGCTCGTCTAACACATGGCTCCAGCTCCGCATCCGCTAATGCGACCTTAGAATGTATCAATGTAACCTGGGCAAAGCAGAAACATAGAAGATTTAAACCCGAATTATGCTGGGTGCAGCGTGGTGTGGTGTATAACGTTTACAAATGATGGTATATATACTGGAATTTTTATTTATATATTTTTTTGTACTAGAATTGGTGGCGATCAGTGGCTTATAACCGGACTGTGATAGTGAGGTGGGCAATCTGACACTAACTAATGCTGGGGGGAACTGACTAACTGCCACTGACATTGTTACAGTGATCAATGTTGTTGTACTAATGACAGTGAGCAGGAAGGGGTTAACATCTAGGGTGATCAAGGGTTTAAATGTGTGCCTAAAAAATGTTTGTGTGTGTACTGTGTGCTGCCTTTACTAGGGATCAAGTTGTTTTAATTCCCTACGCGCACATTCCCTTCCTGAGCACGTGGATCACGTACTAGGTATGCGATCCAGCACAGGGAGGCCACCTGACTGCCCTATAGAAGATGTACTGCTATGCCCGTTCTGTGCAAAATCACGTACGTATACATGATTTTGCACTTTCTGGTGTGGGGAACACGTGCGCCCCCCTTCCTCCGGCACAGCACTTCTGCTATGATTAGTTACAGCAGAATCCAATCAACGGGTTCCAGCCAATAGATGAGTGCCGGCACCTGTTGATCGGCGAGGAGAGTGACAGGACACAGCTCTGCCTATGTAAACAAGGCAGAGCTGTGTCCTGTCATTGGTGATCTACTGGATTTTGTTTCCCTGCAAATCAGGGAATAAAATCCAACATATTGCCTAATAAAACACCTAAATGTACACACAGAAACACTGGTTAGGCACAGTTAACCCTTCGATTGCCCCAGATGTTTAACCCCTTCCCAGTCGGTGTCATTAATACAGTGACAGTGTATATTTTTAGAACCGATTACTATATTAATGTCACTATTTCCCACAAAGTGTCAGTGTCAGACTGCAATATCAAAGTCCCGCTATAAGTCACTGATCACCGCCATTACAAATAAAAAAAAAAATCCAGTATATATACCATAGTTTGTAGACACTATAACTTTTGCACAAACCAATCAATAATACGCTTATTGGGATTTTTTTTTTCTTTTTATTGGATATGTTTTATAGCAAAAGGTAAAAAATGTTTTTCTTTTTCAAAATTGTTAGTTTTGTTTATAGTGGAAAAAAAACCCAGTGGTGATCAAATACCACCAAAAGAAAGCTCTATTTGTGAGAAAAAAATTACATAAATTTAATTCATGTACAGAGCTGCGTGACTGCGCAATTGTCAGTAAAAATAATGCAGCACTGTATAGCAAACAATGGCCTGGTCATAAAGGGAGGTAAATCTTCCAGAGGGCGAGTGGATAACTAAATTATACAATTTTCTTACTAAAGTTCCACTTCTTGCTTGTTCCTTATTCACTGTACAAAAGAACGGAGTGTGGGTGATGATAACACAACTCCATTCCTCCCCCTTACACCACCCACATGAAGGTCCAGAAAACACCCACAGTGACCCTTAGTGCTCAGTCATACCAGTGCGACTTGCCATGCGATTTGATAAGTTTCACATCGCAAGACAAACTGCAGCCTATTGTCTGCAATTGAAGCAGTCATATGGGTGCGATTCCAACTTCATTGGAGTCTCACCAATTTTGAAAGTAGCGTATGCACTACTTTTTGCAAGTTCAAAAGTTTGAAGGATCATGGGAGATGTAGTATTAGGACTGGTAAAGGAAGAAAGCAGGAAGTCGAATGTTGGAAGTTCAGCCAGGAGGAGGAGTGACTTCACAGACACAGAAACCTGCTGTATAAAGCGAAAGGTGGCAAATTACGCACAAACTGACAGCGTGGATATGATTTATTCACATACACAATTCATTGGTTGTTTTGGGGAGGAAAAGTTGGACATCTTCTTTAAAAAGAAAAACTCTCAGCCTCTATTCCTAATATAATAAGCACAAAGGCATATCATTGCGAAGGAAATGATCACATCAATAGAATGAGAACTGCTCTAAAACAAACCAAACAGCAAATGGATTAATAAACATTTAGAAACTATCCATATGGACAGTATAGGACACTGTCCTTTCTCATCAATAATATGCAAAATAGGATGTATTTTACCTCTTTCTCGGGATAATCTGTTTTCACCTCTGCAGCCATTTCAACACCTGCTGCACCTCCACCCACAACAACCACATGTTTAGCTTTCTGGACCTTGAAAAGAAGAAAGAGAAAAGAAGTTTATCAGACTAGGCCACAGATGGACCTCATATGGCATTCAGACATTGTCCCACAACAAACAATCATTCCAGGTCCTTATCATTCCTTACCTCAGAGTGAACAGTAGCAATCAGCAGAAATGAAATACAACTTGGACAAAAGAAGTATAGAAAAAGTTGAGAGTCACACTCCACTACAAACTTTTCATATTGTTTATTTCCATAAAAGTCAAAGTGAATGCACACATTCTGTCTCCACCCAGCATACTACACTCTTCAGATGCGTTTCACCAAACCCTACCTAGGTACCGCCTTTATCCCAGTGAGCAGGCCCTTAGGGGTGAAATGCATCTGGAAGTGTGGTATCCTGGGTGGAGGCAAAATGTGTGCATTCACTTTGGCTTTCATGGAATAAAACAACATGAAGAGTTTATGGTGGAGTGTGACTCAACTTTTTTCTATGCTTCTATGGAAGCAGAGAGGGACTATAGTAGCCAGCACCCTAAAAGCTCCTAAATGATGAGCAGAGGCGGTTTGGAGTTCTGTTCTAGATTTGGGTATGTGACAACTTGAACAACTGTTAAGCTGGCCATACCCTAGGAGTTTTTTCGAACTTATGCCCTTAAGAACATACATATGAAAATTCTCAACACATCCAATGGCTTGACAAATATTGCTCTAAAAGTATTTCAAAATGTAATTTGTTACCTACATTCAATTTTGGACTGAATGGACTTTACCGAATAAAAACCACGCACACTGTTAGAAATTTGTTTGAAATAAATTTTACATCCAGCTCCTTCGAATTTTCTTGTCACTGCGGTCAAACATGAACATCAATTTGACTCCACTAATGAATAGAAAATCGAAGAAACATTCTTAAGAAATTTTTTATGAAACTCTACCAATGTATTGCTAGCTTTATTTTCCACTGGGAACATCGGCCTTACTCAAATACACAAAACTCATGGCCAGATCTGCCCAGAAATCTGTCACAGAAATATATCAGACTGAAAAACTGCCCAAAGGCAAATGGTGTAATCTAAGCATACCATAAACTCACATTGGACTTTGAAAGTACCAAGAGTCTGTCTTATATAAACCAACAAAACAATCTTTAACTTTTAACATCTACAGGACTTTTATTTCTGTTCACATAGTCACATATTTAAAGTGGTTGTACACCCTTACATATACCCAGTGAAGTGACTGGCGTCAGGTGATACACAGATATAAAATAAATCCTCCTACATATGTTGTACCTGTTTATCTGCAGTCTTCTCTTCTCTACATCCGTTCAAAGTGTTGAATTTACAAAGTTTGTCTGAGAGTTCAGAAAAAGGGGGCGGAGAGGTGAAATCACACTCTGCAGAGCTCAGCGAGTGGCTGATTGGAGGGAAGATACACCCCTCCCTTCACACAGCTCACAGGAACAGAACTGAAGCTGTCAATCACCTGGAGCTCCCTCCCCTGTCACAATTTTCTATTGGTGTCAGGGAAACATGTCAGACGCGATATAAGCTGATAGCAGAAGAACAGAAATAAAACGTAGTGCTTTTGAGACAAGTACAAACTATAGAGGGATATGCTTTCTTCATATTTCATGTCTGAGGTTTACAGACACTTTAAAATAAAATTATTACAGAGTTTACATCTCATGTTTAAATCTCAAAATACGAAAACCTCCAATTATCTCAAACACCTCCAAATTGGCTCATACAACATATCTTTAGATTATTCAGACATTATTTAACATTCAACTTTCCAGCCGATATTTGTGGAGGGAAGCATCTACTTCTCAACACGTTCATCAGATACTGAAGATTGGTGGTTGTGGTTGAGAGCACAAGGAAATGTGACAGTTAACATTCCTGGCATGTCGAGAACGTAACTGTTTTTTGAAACCATTCTATTTAGGTTTAGTTCCGCTCTAGGATTCGCTCATGGTGCATAGATGTCAGTTTTTCTGCACGCGTTGTACAATGGCACAACAAAATTAATTGTTCTCTGTGTGTTCCGTTCAGACCACAACACTAGTATCACATGCAGAATTTTTCTGCGAGGAAATCTGCAACGTGTATAAAACTCATTAACGCGAACATGAAAACTGATGTAAACTAATGTCTCTGCCATTGAAATATGCATGTCAGTTTCCATCAGTTTTTCTGCCATGTATGGCATGAGCGAGGCCTTAGGGCTCGTTCACACTAGGCTGTTTTGCCAACGCTTGCCAAACGCCCCTATAGCGTTTGGCAAGCGTTGGTCCGGTGTTTGCGGAGCGTTTTTAACGCTCGGCAAACGCTCCGCAAACGCCGCATGCGCGGTTTAGCGGCGGTTGCTAGGCGTTTTCCGAGCGTTAATAATGCCCCACAAACGCCTATAATGCATTTGAGTGGTGTTACCGCTCCGCAAACACCCCGCAACCGCGTCGCAACCGCACCGCAAACGCCGGCCGGGCGTTTGCGGAGCGGCACCATAGACGAGAATAGGAGGCTTCAAAGCCTCCTGACTCGACCAGAGGCGTCCGTTTTGCCGCGACGCAACGCGACGCAAACGCTCCCGTTAGAACAGCACCATGTGCTGTAATGTGCAGAATTGGCAGAGGCGTTTGGGAAGCGGTAAAAACACTTCCCAAACGCCTCTCTGCCGCCTGCACACAAGGCTAGTGTGAACGTAGCCTTAAAAGTATGAATTTTATGTTTTTGGAGGGTATCATTGCATTGCTTAGTTTTATTTGGAAGATAACTAGTCCAGTTTAAAATGTAAAAATGAAAAGAAAAACATTCTCCCATATTCAGTTTCTACAGTGATGATTTCACAGCAATATAGAACTGAAGTGATTTAGTGTTCATGCGGCATCAAATGAACCTTACTTCTTTGAGACACCTAGCTACAGCAGTGCAATATAACTGACAAGTGTGTAATGGAGATATTGCCTCTAAAAAGTCTGATCACACCAATATTTTACAGTTATTGCTCTCCGGTCTCCAGTGACCCATTCTATCTGATCACATCCTTCTAAGACACAGTTGCCAAGGCAACATGTTCAAGCCTTTAGATCAATAGGATATTTCTTACTGTTAATAGAAGCCAAACATGATCTCTAAGAAGAAAAAGATAATGATCAGAGCAAACAGTCCCTGTTATATGGACTACAATGGCCTCAAAAGTAGACCTGTCTGTAGCCTACTGCTTAAAAAAGAAAAATGTTCTCGCTCAATTATGTCACTTTATAAAAGTGTCCCTTTCAAAAACTGAGCCCTGATTAGACTTTGACAGTTTAAAGGCTAAATCTTGACTCCTGCCAAAATTAAAAAGAAAAGGTTTGTAATTGGATAATTAATTGGACATACAGTACATGCATGGTCTACTCTGCTTGAGCAGCACGTGAACAAACATGACAGCTCATCTTGGCCAATGTGCGGTGAACTTATTTCACAAAGGAAATAAAAAAAAGCTGTCGAGAGTCAGGTTTCCCAATACATCCAATCAACAGTTTCTGCAGGCAGGATCAGGAGCTTCCAAAACATAGGAAAGAATCACCCCATCCCGACAAAAGTAGCCAGGGCAACTGCCACTTCATCTCTACAAATACTTCACCAGAAATAAAGGGCAACAAGATATCTTCTTGGTCTTAATCACACCAGGACCTCCTTTTTGCTTCATAATAAGTTGATATTGAGCACCATAAGCTGTAAGAAGTGATATTTTATTCTGTGTTGAAATATCAGCATGAGACTTTGCTTTCAGTGGATAGGTTAAGGGTTAAATTTTTAGATTGAAGGTGAAATTTAAAAGCAACCTCACCAGTTAGAGTTAGTGATAGATTAGATGTTAACGCACTGTTGGACACTGCTCCAATTTCAGTTGTATTTGGTGGCAAAAAGACCATGCGGAGGACCAACTATGGCATGCAGAACAGTTACCTTCTTAGTGAACCCCTTCACAGCCCAAAACAATGGCTGAAATAGACTTATTGCTAGCAAAGATGACGCCATATATGATCAGCCTTATTTGTAAAGAAATATCAGGTCTGCTGGCAATTAGAAAACTTTATGACAGCAAATATATATGGGCTGATCAAATTCTTCTAAAGTCCAGAGTGTAATGTAGGGGTACTCAAACTATGGCCTGCAGGCTGGACACGGCCCGTCGAAGACATTTATCTGGCCCACCAGGCCAGCCGAAAAAAATAAAGAAAAAATTTAAAAAAACATGGTGCCGGCCGGCAAATAACTACAGTAGGCTGCTCGTTGGGTCCTTGGCTGCGAGGACCCAGCGAGTGGCATCCTACAAGCTCCAGATTTTACTTGCTGCAGCCATAGGAGCAACAGGACAGGAAAGGAGGAGAGCAAACCAGGCACTAGGTACAGTGCATTGCGGTTTCCAGTGGATCAGTGTACAGTGCATTGCGATGTCCAGTGTATCAGTATACAGTGCACTGTGGTGTCCATCATATCACTGTACAGTGCACTGCGGTGTCCAGCATATCAGTGTACAGTGCACTGCGATGTCCAGCATATCAGTATACAGTGCACTGTGGTGTCCATCATATCAGTGTACAATGCACTGCGGTGTCCAGCATGTCAGTGTACAGTGCATCAGTGTACAGTACATTACAGAGTACAGTGCATCAGTGTACAGTACATTACAGAGTACAGTGCATCAGTGTACAGTACATTACAGAGTACAGTGGATTGCAGTATCCAGTGCGTTACAGTGTACAGTGCATTGCAGTATCCAGTGCATTACTGTGTACAGTGCATTGAGGTGTCCAGTGCATTGAGGTGTCCAATGTGTTACAGTGTACAGTGCATTTTAATTATTATATTGATTTTTCCTGTTTTTTTTTCACTACAAAGATATGAGCGGCGTGCATAGGAATTTGTTCATACTTTTTCTCAAACTATATTCTGCCCCCCCCAACAGTGTGAAGGTCTATGAACTGGCCCCGTTTAAAAAGTTTGAGGACCCCTGGTCTAAGATGTGATATGGGGATGGGTTGGCTCAGTGGTAGTTGCATTTTGATTAAAGTTTAAGTCCATACCAGTCCGAACTGTGTTTTAAAGTGTGGCAGCCCACTTTTATTAAAAGAAACTTAAAGTTCATACAAAGTTTCCCTGGCAGGAGTTTTAGCTTCACAAAGCAAGAAGTCAATGAAAATGATGAGCCACCTGGCTCTCTTGTTAGGCTGACCACTGCTCTTGTCTTTGATCTCCCATACCATGGACTCTTCAGGCTCACTCAGTCTTTAGTTACAGCATCTCACTGCACAGGCTGACTCCTGGCCTCTAAATAGGGGTTCTCATAGCATCCAGAGCTCTCACACTAGTCCTGAGACTTATGGGATGCCGCCAGCCCCCGGGACTTGCTAGCCACCTCAACTTTCACACTCTGCACAGGCTGGCGCAGTTGTCCTGACTTTCCCAGCCGAATCCCCCCAACATCAGGTGTAGTCTCTTAGCAGGAAAACATAGCTCTCTCCTGGCCCGGCTCTGTCTCCATAATGAAAGCCCTAAGCTATCCCCAGGCTTAGCTTATAATGAGCTTGCACACCAGTGCACTCACACAACCTGTAGCCCTCCAATAAGACCTAGACACTGGATTGGAGACTTCTTCCTGCCCAAATCTCTTCTAACTTTTAAGACCCTGATATGGGACTACCAAACCCAGTGAACACTTACTAGCCAGTCTTCTCTTTTTAGAAATAATCCTCTGGAGCTTCTTACTCTGCCTTAATACAAATCCTGTGTTTCTCTCCTAAACTCACACCCTGGCAGGGCCTAGCACTGTGGCAATGGTAAAATTATTTGTAAACACCTCAAACTAGCCAACTTGTTTGGAGACTACAAGGGACAATGTTAAGAATCACAAACTCTACTACGTAAAGGCAAAAAGCAAAGAACAGAACTCAAAACTTAAAGCCATGTCACTCTAAATAAATTTTAATGTACACAAAATGTTAAAACACCATGATTATATAAATGCAATAAAATCTCCAAGACATTATATTAAACATATAGTAATAAAAAGTATATTATATTCCTTAACAAATTAAACACCAGGGAGAAGATAATAGAATTAGTATTACAATCCAGATTACATGTAACTTCTTTTAATCTGCATATTATTTAAGTGCACGATGTTAGATGTAATCTCCTAAACTCACCGCACACATTACAATCGACATGTACAATCTATTCGTGACTGGATAGAGTGGATTGGATAAGTAGATCTAAGTCTGGTTTTATAGAGATTGAACAGTCAGACTGTAATATGTATGGAGATCCTAATAATGACTGGCAGAAACATTCTAGTACAATTTATGACCGGTCACTGTATATGCAGCTTTAAATATGTATTGGACTTCAATCGGTAGGTGTACTGCATAAATATAAGCAAATCCTCAAGTTAGTTGTCACACTTCTGTTGTACCACAGCTACTATAATCCAACAAATCACAAGGTGGATAAATATATGTTTATTTTATCAGTTCAGTATATATCTGTTATGCCTCGAAGGTCACAGGTTCCCTGATATCATCAAGACCAATACAGGAACCAAAGCTTTGTATTGGACTTAAAGACACCAAGGAGCAGCGATCAAGTGGGGGAGTGCCTGATCAGGTAAGTAAACAGATTTTCCCATAAGCGAGACATAATCAAGAATTTTTTCCTTGCAGTGCATGAGCATCCCCACTACAAGGAAGAAATTTGCAAAGTTGAGCTTTAAAGTAGTTGTAAACCTCAGACATGAAATATGAACAAAGCATGCCCTTCTATAGTGTGTACTTGTCTCAGTCCAGAGCACTAAGTGTCATTTCTCTCTGCTGCTTTGTTCCTCTGCTATTCCTGCGAGTCTCTTCTGACATGTTTTCCTGACACCAAGATATAAAAAGATGACAGGGGAGGCAGCTTCAGCACACAGCCTGTGTTTGCCAACCTTAGCTCTGTTCCTATATGCTGTGTGAAAGGAGGGGGGTGTCCCTTCCCTCCAATCAGCTCTCACTGCAATCTGCAAAGTGTAACCTCAGCTCCCTGCCCCCTGCTTTCTGGAAGCTTAGACAAGCTGTATAAATTCTGCACTTTGAACAGATGTAGAAGACGACTTCAAATAGACAGGTACAACTTACAGTATGTAGGAGGGCTTGTTTTATCTCCATATATCACCTGAGACTAGTATATATGAGGGGTTTTCAACCACTTTAATCATATGTTTGTGGATTACTTTCTCAATCCAAGTTAAATTATGGATAGTTTTGTACACATAGATAGGTCCTTAACAGTTCCCTACATTGAGGAACTTGGAACATTTTTCACTTGTATAACATTTTCTTGGGGTGACTCCATACCCATCCAAAAGGCATGGTAACTCCTGCTTTTCCTCTTTTCTTTTTTTATTTTATACGTGGTCATCATTTTTGTTCTAATCCTTCTCCACGCTATTCAAAACTAAAAAAGCTTTATTATATATTAAATATATTTTACACATCTAACATGGTGCAATGCCTCATGTAGGTAGAGCAAGATTGATGTTATACAGTATATATCTGTGCCTTCTGTTTTGCGTGTACAAGCCTGTGTTAGCTACACGTATGTTTTTTATTCATTACATTTTTGTTTGTTTTTTAACTTTCACAGAGCTGACATGCTATTACATGCCAGTATATACTGACCCCTAGCAGAGGGTCTTATGGTTCTTTCCATTCCCAGGAAGGTAAAGTTCCCCCTACCCTGCAACAAGGAGGGTGTCCCTCCCAAACTCTCTTTACATAGTCAATAGGCATTTCGATGGACCTCTGAGGCCTCCTCTGTTTTTAAAAAGGTTATGGGGACAGCAGCAATGTAAGATTTATTACATTTGGCTTTCTCCTTCAATGTATCTTTAACCACTTCCCGACCGCCCTGTAGCAGAAATACTGCTACAGGGCGGCACGGGTGCACAACATCACGTATATACACGAGATTTTGCATTTCCGGGTAGGATACATGCGCGGGGCGTGCACACGGCCTACCCGCGCCGCCATTCGCAGCCACGGCTGTTAATCACCGAGTCCCGGCCGGTGGTTACTCGCCGGCGCCCAGTGATTACCAAGGATCTCCGACGGGGAGGAGAACTGTTTTGTTTACTAACAGTTCTCCTCGCTGTCAACTCAGGAATACTAATACTGCTTTGGATGGCTGTGCACAGCACAGCCATCCAAAGCGGTATGCTTACAGTGAAGAGCACAGACACCGCCCCATAGTAAAACACACACAGCACACAGTTAACCCTTTGATCCTTATGTTAACCCCTTCCTGCCCAGTGCCATTAGTACAGTGTCAGTGCTTTTTTTAAGCACTGATTACTGTATTGGTGTCACTGGGGAAGTCAGTTCCCCCCAGTGTCAGAATGTCCGCTGCAGAACCCGTCACGCTATAAGTCGCCGCCATTACTAGTAAAAATAAAAAAAAAATCCCAGTATATATACCACCATTTGTAAATGCTATAACTTTAATGCAAACCAATTAATTTACACGTATTGGGATTTTTTTTTTTAGCAAAGACATGTAGCAGAATACATTTTGGCCTAAAGTGATTTTTAAAATTTTTTTACTGGACATGTTTAATAGCAAAAAGTCAAAAATCTTGTTATTTTTCTCAAAATTGTTGGTCTTTTTTTTATAGCGCAAAAAACAAAAATGCACAGGCGATCAAATACCACTGACAGAAAGCTAAATTCTTGGGAAAAATAGGACGTAAATTTTATTTGGGTGCAGCGTTGCATGAACACGCAATTGTCAGTTAAAGTAACGCAGCGCCGTAACGCAAATAATGGCCTGGTCAGGAAGGGGGGTAAATCCTCAGGAGGACAAGTGGTTAATAAGAAATGTCACTATTTTATTGTCAGACGACTTTCATGGAAATGGACATCTATCATCAACTTGAATCTAACTGTTGGGTAATACAGAAAGTACAACTATACTGTAGAAAAGGAAGTAATGAGAGACAAGTAAAATAAAATGAGAACAGTTGATCCACAGTTTATCCAGAATCTTATAAATTGGGTCAGAGCCTGTGAACCGAGAAGGAAAACCGGGTGAAGATGAAGGCCTGTGACAGTGTGCTGCTGAAGGGCTTCGTTTTATGGTAAGTCTCATAATATGCTATCATACGATGCATACTAGCACACTATGAGACTATGTTGCAGGGGCCAATTTTTTTCTTTTGTTTTGCATTTTGCTACCTCTTTAACCACTAGCCTACAGGGCACTTATACCCCCCTTCCTGCCCAGGCCAATTTCCAGCTTTCAGCGCTGTCACACTTTGAATGACAATTGTGCGGTCATGCAACACTGTACCCATATGAAATTTTTATCATTTTTTTGAGGCAGATAGAGCTTTATTTTGGTGGTATTTAATCACCTCTGGGATTTTTATTTTTTCTTAAACAAACCAAAAACCACTGAAAATTTTGAAAAGAAAAGGTTTCTTAGTTTTTGTATACAATTTTGTAAATATGTGATTTTTCTCCTTCACTGATGTGCGCTAATGAGGCTGCAGTGATGGGCACTGATAGGCTGCAGTGATGGACACTGATAGGTGGCACTGATGGGCACTGATGAGGAGGCACTGGTAGGTTGCACTGATGGGCATTGACAGGCATCACTGATGGGCACTGAAAGGCAGCACTGATACATGACACTGATATATGGCACTGATAGGCAGCACTGACTAGTACTGATGCGCACTGATAGGCGACACTGACTGGCACTGATAGGTGGCACTGATTGGCAGCACTGATAGGTGGCACTGATGGGTGACATTGAAAGGCAGCTCAGATGGGCACTGATATGTGGCATTGATGTGCACTGGTATGCACTATGTGGCATTGATGTGGCACTGGCACATGGCACTGATGAGCACTGACAGCTGGCACTTCTGGGGCCACACTGATCATCAGTGCCCTGATGATCAGTGTACATGTCCCCTCTTTGGAAAGCCGATTACTGACTCTCCTCTCCTCTCGAGCTGTCAGCGTGACAGCTCGAGAGGAGAGAAGTGCCGATAACCGGCATTTCCCTGTTTACATGTGATCAGCTGTGATTGGACACAGCTGATCACATGACCGAGCTGACATCTTCGGCTCTTTCCGTGATCCGCTGTGTCCGAGGGACACAGCGCACCGGCGAACGCCGCGCTGCATGCTCCCTGAGCCGCGCATGCGCAGTGAGAATGGTAGGACGTCATATGACGTCCTATCAGAATGAGAGAACCACCTTGCGCCCGTCATTGTATTATAGGGTGGGCGGAAGTTGGTTAAGATGCGTTCTTGTTATAAAAACAAACCTTCCTTAATACATATCTCTGAATTTTTTTTAAGTTAAATATTAAATAAAATGTTGAAACCCAAGTATCATGCAGGTAGCAATGAGTTTAATTTTGCACACTTACCTCCTTTATAAGATCTTCATACATCTGAATAGCTGCATCCTTGGTGGTTGTTATGTTAATCTTTCCAGGAAAGGGACCATGACTCCCTGTAGCAATTATGAGATGAGAGAAGTGTAATTCCTAAATAGAACAACATCAATGAGGAAAATTATGACTCGTGTCTTAGAGGACAGATATTCACAGTTGTTATGCAACCAAAGAAGAATTTTCAGTCCTTTTAACTAATAGATTTGTGCTCACAAACCATGGTAACTATTCATACCACAAAGCCCTCTCTGTATCTAACACCATAGTCATCAAAATAATCAAAATATAGTGTTTTATTTAATACAATAATAAAATGACAAGAAAACAGTTATGCTCCCATTGGCTGATCCTTACAAAAATATTGAAATCCCATGCTGTCTATATACCATTGGGGAACTTTCCCTTCACTTCCTTTGCCAGCAATGCACCAAGAAGAAATTTCACAAAGCGAGGGTGTAGGCAGGTGCAGTCCGTTTACTCCACTGTAGGTGACCCACAAACAAGTGTTACCACAGCTTGGAAGGTTAGGGAAATGTGGCTTCTCTGTGTTCTTCTTGGTCATGGAGCAGTGTGCCAGTTGGCTACACTGCATCCATATGACCCCTGGCAGCCATCTTGGGTGAGCAGGATCTTTATAAGTCCTTGCACCCAGGTTTTGTTGTGCAAAGTAGGGTAGAATAGGGAGAGAGACCCCCCATGTGACAGGAAAGTGGTTAGTGGCAGGAAAATGTTCCTGACGAGGAGGGCAGGCTAGGGATCTGCTATCCTCAAGGAAGTCTCCCTTTTTGGGACCAAACAGACTGCACTTCATCCTCTGAAACAGATGCTATCTCTACCCTCTGCATCTCTGCCTAAGAACTGAACTGTTAGTGCTCTCTTACTGTGGTGTTTGTATCTGGCATTCGATACAAGTTTCAGGTTTTATTGCAACCAGACTGTGTCTTTAATACCACCGCACCCATCTGCACCTCCCCACAAAGGGAAGGCCCTTCTTGGACAGCTGTCTCTATTACCAAATTTTCCCTTACTTACTGTTCTAGAGGCAAATCTAAAATTTTGGATTTTCCCTTACTTTCACAGTGACAATAATACAAATGGACGGGGTGGATCTCTCCAAAAAAGAGACAAAGACAACAATACACAATTGGCAGAGGGTCAACCCTTCGCCACTCTATTCAAAACTAAAAACAAGATACACTTTAAGAATATTTCTCCTCACTTCCTGTCCTGGTGACCATAAAGGACGGAGTGAAACCTCCTAAATGGTGTCAAGGATAGCAATGAAAACCTCATAGAGGTTTCAATAATTCTGCAGTCTATCCTAAGCACAAAGTTGTAATTGGAGCTGGGTTTCAAGTTCCATTTATACTAGGCTAATGGTGGCTCTACCACATTGCTCCTCAGCCTGAAAGCTGTGCTGTGCTCAAAACCAGTGGTCCCCAAAGTACAGCTTGCAGGATGAGTGCGGCCTTTTCTTGCCTTCATCCAGCCCTTGAGACACTATTGCTCCCTCTGATGCAAAGAATGGGCAGTATTCCTTGCACTGACATCAAAGACAGGCCACACCTAAGTTTTATTTACTCCAACTGGCCCCCATCCCTGGCAGGGCCGAAACGAGGGGGGCTAATGCTCCGGGCACAGTATTGAGAGGGGCACCAGAGCTGACAGGAGTAGTGACAGCAGCATCACTCCTGTCAGCTCAGCACTGGGAGCAAGGAGAGAGCCAGGAGGAGGTGCCAGCTGTGAATTGTTGCCAACAGTCCCACTTGTTAGCCGCTGGTCCCTGGATGTTTCAAGGAGTGAGCCACCCTTAATTACCCTCTTCCCCCTTCCTCCCTCTTCACTTCTGAGCCTGCAGTGAGCTCTGAATGGAGGACACAGCAGCTGAGGTGAGGGATGGGGCATCTTTCCCTGCCAGAGGGAGAGGTACAAGCTGCCTTCATGGAAAGAAGAGCTGAGGTAGCTGCTACCGGGAGCACAGTGTAGTGCAGAAGAATCCAGTGGTAACAGACATCTCTCCAGGTCCATGAATATCATTGCCGCTGGGACCTTAGGTTGCCATTAGAGATGTCATACTGCCATTATAATGTGTATGAAGACGTGGAAAGTTGCTAAAGTGAATATATGCACTGTAAAGGTGCTTTTATATAATTTGGTTGGTAATATGAACATGTTGCTATATATTTGGGTCCTAAATCCTAATAAAGATCCACATCTTCATATTACCAACACATGAATATACAAGCACTTTAAAAGTGCATATGGTCATTTTAGCAACTTTCCACGTCTTTATTATGATGATATCCTCCAATAGTAGACTAATGTCCTAATGACAATAACAACAGATAACAGATCCCTGGTGGTTGCCCTATTTCCCTGGGGTTGCAATCACCGACACAACAGCAGCATCTCCACCCATTGCTTGCCACCTGTCTCAACAGTTAGACTGCACATTTCAGAGCCGTGGAAAGCTGCCCCCATAGTTGCCAACTGTCCCGGATCTGCTGAAACAGTCTGATCTTCTAGACAGATGTCCTGGAATCCAAGCTGTGGGGATGGCTGCAGTACTGTACATCCCTGGGCGATTTAAGAATATGGCTGTATTATACAAAGTTACATTATTCCAGCTCAGGCCAAGTAATTATGTATATATTATAACAGACTGATGCCCCTGAGGCTGCAGAGAAAGTGATTGGGGAATCTGTTCTCCATCCCTTTCTCTGTCTCAAAAGTGAGACATCAGGGGTCTATTTAGACCCCTGACATTTCACCAAAGCCCCCCAATGGGGTTCCTAAAAAATTGCAAAAAATAATATTGTAAAACGTAATTATAAAATAATAAATAAATATGAAAAAATTACTGACACCGCTATGGACACCAACCTCTGCCCCACTCACACCGTCCTCTTTCAGTGGGGGGTCCAAACTGAGTTTATGCCCCGGATTAAATAACGTTTAGCTTCGCCACTGAACCCAGGGGCATATTTACCACCATTGACCACTAATGCTGGGGCATTTGCAACTCCCTCTGGTCATAATTTGGTTCTTCTAAACTCTGAAAAACAGTGAACTGCTCCTTGTTAGAATACTTGAGGGCCCCTGTTTTATACGGTAGAATTGTTGTGTGGATGCAGGACACTACTAGCCTTTTATTTACCTCATTGCTTTCTAGCAACACGTTTTGAGTCTCCAGGTTTATTCCAACAACTTTGCCTTGTTTGAAGCTGTCCTGGTATGAATCTTTATAGGAAATGAAGGTCTTACTTGCAAAACCTGTTACACAAGAAAAAATGTTAACCAAACTTGCACGCAAATGGATACATTCTCTTCATATCTGCATGATTATTATGTCTGCAACAACCACTGAGTGAGGGATCCTCCATGCAACTAGTCTGCAGAGAAGTAAAACAGTAAAAGTTTACAGACAGTAAAAGATGCACAGCAAAGTGTGTGTGCCTCATTCTAATGCAATGCCCTGGTTGTTGCCCATGATGAATTAGACCCCTTTTCACACTAGCGCCCCACAGTACAAGGGGACCTCTGACCCAGGAGACATGCTAATATCCTGGAGCTGGGCTTTAAACCAGTAATAAACCCAAAAGCAAACATTTATTATATCTATTATAGCTTTCCAATTCTTAGATGTGAAGGCTGCATTCATTTTCCCTTTTTAGGCTTTCTTTCTTCTATTTTCATCTGGTGATTCAGCCAGTAACTCTGTTTTTCAGAAGCTCAAGCTCTCCAGCAGAATGTATCAGTTTACATGAATGAGACAATTCAACATTGGCAGGAGATATTAAAATTGCCAGCTTTTATTTATGCATGAAAAACTTTTATCCCAAAATGAAAACAAAAATTGCTGTAACGGATTATAAAGTGTGAACTGGAGTTGGGCTTCAGTTTGTTATTGTATTCAAATCTGCTAATAGGTTTCTGTCTGCTGTCTGTGTACTCATTCATCAATTGTTGTGCCTCACTAATACAGGAAGTGTGTTACTGGCCAGATCACCAGGTGAAAACAGAGGGAAGAAAGCCAGAGAAATAAAAATAAAAACTAATGCAGCTATCACATCTAATTATTGGTAAGCTGCAATATAATACATTTTTGGTTTTGTGTTTAATACTGCTTTAAGCCAGGTACACCCATATTCAAATTCGACTGGTTCAGCAAGAAGCTCTCTCTGTTCAACAGAAGCCAAGCGTTAGACCAGCTTTTTTCAAATGGTCCTGCTTGAAAACCAGCATTTAATCAGCTGCTGCAGTCAATGGGAGTCCCCGCTTCTAGAATACAATGGTGGCAGAGATACCTGCATCCACATTGCTTGTGTGAATGCAAGAATTAGGGATGCACCAATACCGGTATCAATACCGAGTGTTTTCATGAGATCACATGAAAATAGTCCCAATACCTTAATACCTGCGTTAATGGACGCAAATTTCACCGCAAAGATTAGCAAGCGATTTCCTGTCCAAAATCGCATGCGGTTTCCCCACTGCTCCTGTGTGAACTCGGGCTTGTTATAGTGCAGGCACCCCATGCTGAGTCTCAGTGGTATGAGGAGAGAAAGTGGCGGGGGATGTGAAATCCCTGCCGCTTTCCTGCCTCTCCTTCCAGATAATTTGGACTAGAGAGCTGTTGATTGCTGACCAATCAGATGCCATCTAGCCAGAACTGTCTTCACTGCAAGGAGAGGAAAGAAAGCGGCGGGGATTTCAAATTCCCAGACCTGTGAATCGGTTTCCCTTCTCTCCTTGCAGTGATGACAGTTTAGACTAGACAGCATCTGATTGGTCAGCATCATCCATGTGACGGTGCTACTGACCAAACAAAAAAGTCCTCTAGCACGAACTGTTATTGCTGCAAGGAGAGGAAAGAAAGTGTCAGCAATTTCAGATCCCCACCACTTTCTCTCCTACCACCGAGACTCAGCATGGGATGCCTAAAGGGAGGTTTCCTGAACCACTCCTGTGTGAACTCAAGCTATGGCAAGCCTGGGTTCACACAGACGCAGTGGGAAAACCGCATGTGATTTGGACAGAAATCGCATTCCTGTTCAAATTGAATGGTATTCTTTGCAGTGCAATTTGCGTCCATTAATGCAAATCGCACCGCAAAATATCAGTAATCGGTACTTGACCGAAAGTATCAGCACTCGTATTCGCTAATCTAAAAAAAATCAGTATCGGTGCATCCCTAGCAGGGATCCATGAGTTTTTTATTTTGTCTGTTATCTTTTTTTTTATCAGCCGGCGATGGGTTTTAATGATCCAAGTGGGTAAATAGCCACTAGGATCACTTTTACAGGTGGTAGAAGGAGGTCGCCCCATCCCACCGTGGATCCTGGGACTGAGGCTGGTGCTTCCGTCGGCTGACCATAGGGATGACCGAGGACCAGAACGGCCCCATTCATCTGTATGGTGTAAGAAAACAGAAGCAACAATTATTTTGTCATTTCTAGTATCACCAGGATGTAAACAAACCATTACTGGCTTGTAAAAGCATCAGATCAAACTGATATGGGTTTGATCCTATGCTTTGAAGGGCAGAGAAGAGATCTGGGGTCTAATAGACCTGTCAGTGCTCCAGCTATGATAACTATAAAAGAGATTAAAAAAAAAAATTAAAGAGATAGAGAAAAAATAAAATTTAAAAATTAAATAAAATAAAAAAAAAAATAGAAAACATTTGTAAAGTGTCCCGGTCACCCTTGCGTGTGCGCAAAGGCGAACGCATATGTAGGTTGCATACGCATATGTAAACGGGGTTCACACTACACGTGAGGTATCACCATAACTATCATAGGGAGCAATAATTCTAGCACCAGACCTCCTGTGCAACTGTGTAAACTGCTAACCTGTAAAAGCTTTTAAAGTATCGCCTATGGAGATTTTTAAGTACCGTAGTTTAACGCCATTCCACAAGCGTGGGTATTATATTGTGTCTTTGTGCATTCAAATTCATTAAAGTGTTTTTGTTTTTTATTAAATTGTGTTTGAAAAACCACTGCGCAAATACTGCGCGATATAAAAAAGTGCAACACCCTCCATTGTATTCTCTAGGACCTCTGCTTAAATATATATATATATAAATGCTTGGAGGTTCTAAGTAATTTTCTTGCAAAAAATGCTGATTTTTACATGTAGGAAAGAAGTGTCTGTATTAGCTGGAGGGGCTGACATGGCAATCCTGCCATGAAGGGAGGGGCGTTTTTGCCATGCGGCAAACAAGGCGTTTCCCTGGGGCGTTGGTGCCCCCCTGGCAGAAGTGGCAGAGTGGCAGCTGGTGACTGAGGAGCAGTGAAGGCAGTGAACAGCAGGAGATCCACGAGAGGCAGCTGGATGATGTCAGACTCTCCTTCACAGTAGGGATGCACTGAAATTTCGGTGGCCGAAACGTTTCGGCCGAAAACACCCCCTTTTGGCTGTTCGCCAAAATGAAAAAAAGCACCGATACAGGTGCTAAAAAAATCCCCGCCCCTCACTGCCGCCTACCCGGCGCTGCTGCCTGCCGCTTGGTAGTTCTCAGACTTACCTGAGAAACCATCGATCCTGGCGCTGGGCATAGAGATGAGTGAAGGAAAGAGGGCTGCCACTCATCTCTATGCCCTTGGAGGACCGGAGCAATGTTACTTCCCGTTCCGGCCATTTTTTTTTTTTTTTTTAAAGCACTAGATCAATGCTTTTTTTTATCTAATCCTTTACATTGCAGAGGAGAGATGTGGGGTCTTATTGACCCCACATCTCTCCATAAAGAGGACCTGTCACTAATAATTTCTATCACAAGGGATGCATGCATTTCTTATGATAAGAATAAAAGTGATTACAATTTTTTTAAAAGAACAGTGCAAAAAAAAACAAAACAAAAAAAACCCATTTAAAAAAACACATTAAATAAATTAAAAAAAAAGTTTAAAGTGCCCCGTCCCCCTGTGCTCGCACGTAGTGGTGAACACATACATAGGCCATGCCCACATATGTAACCGTGTTCAAACCACACACGTGAGATATAGCCACAAACGTCGAAGCAAGAGCAATCATTCTCACACTAGACCTCATCTGTAACTTTACACTGCTAACCCGTAGAAATTTTTAAAGCATCACCCATGGAGATTTTAAAGTACCGCAGTTTCACGCCATTCCACGAGCGTGCGCACATTTTAAAGTGTGATATGTTAGGTATCTACTTGACGTAAACTTTTGGTTTCGGCTTTCGGCCAAGTGCATTCTGAATTTTCGGTTTCAGCACCAGAATTTCCATTTCGGTGCACCACTACTTCACAGACCTCCTTGTAGCTTCGGCGGAGCCCAATGGATGTCATTCAGTGAGCTGTGCCATTGAGTGCTGGAATGGAGAAGGATGCGACAGGCTGGCAGCTGCTGGAGGGTGTCCGATTGTCCATTGTCCCTTGGTGGTAGAGGGTGGTTGGCAGCCAATTTTTATGGGCAACTGAAATTTGATGCATATATGGCCGACTTAACAGCACTGGGGTATACAACAAAGTCCTGGTTGGCACGTAGCTCTGCTTGTCCCTCTTTCAGTGGGAATGCCACTGTCCAGAAGATGACAGCAAGCTACTATGAAGCCAGATTAAAGCGATTATTTTCACAAATATTTTTCATGGTTTAATACATGATTGCGCTAAATGAAAATTTGTAATTTTTAAAATCTGCCTGAGTTTTAGCTTTACCAAAACTTATTTCTAATTGTAATAAAGTTCCCTGGAGACAGATTTATACTGAAGGTTCTTTGACACAGGTAATGGAGGATAATTCAACAGAAGGCATCATTCCTAAAGGTTCAGATATACATGACACTAAACAAAAAGAATTCCAGTGACTCAAGTTTCTTTGTTTCTTAGACAAATACTGTCCTTAATTACATCGCCCTGGGCTTCCATACCATACACTGAATATCCACAATTAAAACCATGCCTGGACTGCAACCAATCATTTCTGCTCTCGCTTTACATTGTGCTGAAAAGCTCCTGCTGTCTTTTCAGTTCTTCATGATTAGTGTGATGACAGTTGCTAGCTTGTCCCAAACTGTCAGGTACAACTCTCCTTCCATTAAATCTGAAATCCAGACAAACAGCTAAAGGCAGATGAAATACATACAGTCTGTGGAAGCTTTTTTATCTGCCAAAGGATTTCCATTTCTGCTTGTCCAGTGCTGAAATACACACAGCCCTGCCAGTTGGTACAGGAGATCTGAATTTTCTCTGCTGTGGTTGAGTAAGGCTTCATTCACACTAGGTTTTTTTTTGCTGTGATTC